TCGGTAGCGGTATTTCGTAGAATAATTTATACTCCCGAAACGCAGTTTGCCCCTTACGAGGATTTCATTTCGAGAAACGTAACAATTTTATCGCTATATTAAATACGTAGACCAATCGCCCGCTGAAGAGGAAAGGAACGATTTTCCGTTGATAAGTTTACGAGTTAATAAACAGAAAAATGTTACGACGGCTGAAATGTGTTGTAAATGAAACCGATTTGAAACATTTTTATTTCTCTGTATCCTTTACAGAGTACATATGATTATTTTATGTTTGTCGAGTACACGCAACGTAAGAAGATTTGGATTCAACAAAATACTTTAGGACCCAGTCTATTTTTTATTCTGAACATTTCATTTTTTAAGGAATATTTTTTGAAAAATGTTAGAGGGAAAAATTTTGATTTCTTTGACATTTTACATGTTATTAATCTTTACAGTATGTCGGTATTTTTAAATCTTGGATATTCAGATTTTTCTTTGTTCAATAGCCTTTTGTTCAAAAATGACGATGCTGCTTCTCGTTGTTGGAAATGAAAAAGCTCGATCTAATATTATTCCGTAGGCTATCTTTGGGATATTAAATCTAATTAGAATTGAAAACATTAATATTTAGTATTTTTCTGATCTTCAAGAAATGAAAAAAAGATTTTCAGTACAATTGAAATATCTAAATTTAAAATATAACACTACTTTGTTACTTTCAATTTTTTTCTAATAAAATTAAGTTCAACACCCTATTGCCTGAGTTTTCTCAGGCGATGAAGAGCACACAATAGAACGAAAAGAGAGCCAAAGATGTCCAAGATTAAAAAATACGGCGTATTATTTACAAAATACATTAATTAAGACATATACGAAACGTCAGAAGAATAATCAATTTCTAATATTCTTGGAAAAAAATTCGCAAATATGTCGTCAATTTATCTTCCATGCAGCTAGACTGGGTCCTTTAACCCTCTCAGTCTCGCGTGCTCGCACGCATAATCGTGCGTTGGAGGGATTCTTAATCGAATAAATCGCCGATCGTAAGTAGATAGACGCCAAGGGGTATATCTCGGCGTGGCCTGCGTCGCGTATATACGCGATAACGAAGAATAATGGCGAAGATTGCGATTGTGGATGAAATCGGGTGTACCGCAGCGCGCAAATGTTGCACAACGAATCGACCGGAATGAGAGGAAAGCGTTTACATGCACCAAGCGTATGCATGCGCCGTATGCGTGCGTCGTTTAATAAACTTTTGCGTGGCTAGCGCGATGGCGTGCCATTTCCCCGACATAAATTCCACCCTGGAAAAAGACGGGGACGCAGGGAGTATGTGCTGCGAAATTGCAATAGTTGTTATTTCCTTCCCCCCCTCTCTTTCTCTCTCTTTGTCTTTCTTTCTATCTATCTTTCTTGCGTTAAGAAATCAAGTGCGCGATTACTTCATGTGCGAGGTGAGTTGTGAAGAGCCGTGCCTCGAAATGTGTGCGAAACAACTTGGCCAGAAAATAAATCAGAGAATAATACCTCCCTTCGTCATATCGACCCGTTTTTCATGCCGTTGTAATCAATGGAGATTTATGGCGCCGAGAATTTAATGATTTTACATTGAAATCGCGAGCGGATGTAAACACTTTCGAAAATCCGCTTTTAACGGATATTAAAATCAATTTAGATGCTTTTTTTTGCGTATATATTATAATAGTTACACGGTATATTATTTCAGGATAAAACAAGAGACTGATTTATTAGGGTTGCGAGATGTAAATTAGTAAGATAGGGACTAGTCTTCATGTTACCTTGTCTCGAAATTCAAGATAAGATTTTTTAATTTTTTAATCATTAAAATAATGTCAAAACTAAGATTGTCAAGATTATTGATTTTTAAAAAATGCTGAAATATGTATGTTTGTAAATCAAATGAGATGAATATCACATTATTATACGAATTAAAAATTGTATTTAACAAATGAAAATATTTATATTAGCAAATTTAGAAACGATATATAACAATAATTATTTTAAATTATATTATAAAAATTATACGTTAGACGTACATACTATTATAAACAGTATTCGATAAAAACTGTTGATAAAACGAGACGAGGCAAGATTTGTGCCACAAAAATTCACTGAAAATCACGACAAGCTTTAAGTCTCCATAAACTATCCAATACTTTCATTGCCTCGTTTTGACTCTTGCGTAATTCTGTGACTTACATACATATGCTTTTTACAACCCTTTAATTAATGACTTCCGTTCCGATGAAACGAATCACGCATGTCGTGCGCAGACCGCTCGCGTGACGGGCGGCCTGCGGGGATGAAAGAAAGTAGTGGTGCGAGGACGCTAATTACAATGGGACTAATTGCACTGCTGTTACGGCACTAAAGTGTCGATGCATCGTTGCACCCGTGTATGACGTGCATACGTGAACTCAACTCACGGGTGAGGGTTGCTTCCGCCCGCCATTGAACCGATACGCACGCGTTTATTGGCCTCGTAAGTTTTGATTATGTTTGCGTGCCGGGATGTCATTACGTGTCATCCCTCATACATTCCTCCCCCTCCTCTCTGTCTCTCTCTCTCTCTCCTTTCTCTCGAGTTCGCGCACCTGTTTCAGGTGTATATGAAGTGCTCCGAAATTTACGGTCTTGCACAACTTCATGTTGACTCTCGCGTCTGACACAGGAATATCTGCATCTATTGAGAGAACGGAGATATATCAAGATAATTGTAACTTGTTACATGACAAGAATTTAATAGGATGTTTCGTATTTTCTTCTTATATATAATTCCTTTAAACAAGGAAAAGGAAGGGGATCTCTCTTTTGATCAACTTATAATAATAAAAGTTATATAATGAAAGTTGAAACATTTTTTTATATTAATATAAAGGAAAAAATTCCCATAGTATTATTATCGTATTTGTTTCAGTTGATTTGTAACAAAATGATCTGTATTGATTAAATTTGAATCGTATAAATGATACGTGTGATAACTTTGCGAATGTAATTAAATTAAACTCGATGTGAGTCGGTAGTTTTAAAACACTCCGTGTAATATATCTCGGATAGTGGATCAGTGCATCTCTCGCGTGTCGTTACACAGCCAGATTCCGGCGTCAACATGTCTAATAATTCATTGTCCACTCTTGTATTGCGAGTCAGCTGGTGTCTCGCGAGAGTCGTCGACGGTGGTTTTTGGGGGAAAAAAGTATATATATATACAACACGAGAAGCTTCTCGCTCAAGGCGAGAATATTTCAGGAAAGTCTGTTTGTTATCCCCTGCGAGAGTGGGACGGGCAGATTAAGAGGATGACTTATAACTTTTGTTGAGAGTTGTGGCGTATAGAGTGATAAATCGAGCGATTAGAGCCGGGGGCGATACATGCATAAATACACGAGTAAATATGAATGAGAGTAAAACGCGAACGTCAATTTTTTTCGCGTAATTATATCGAATGCACGAGACAATTTTCGAGACTCCGAATCTTATCCGAACGTTTCCGCGAGAATGGAAATTCCGGAATTTCGCGAACGTGAGATTTTCGCGACCGCGAGGATTCGTTAAGCCGAGCTTTTTCAGGGGATATCGATTCTTACGGACGACGTGAAGAAAGTTAAATTTCTCAGAGGAGTGCCCCGGAAAATGCGAACGCGTAGGTTGCTCCCCGAGACGAAAGTATTGAAGGGGTGGAGGGGAAAGACGCCGCCGGTCCCTGAGCGTCCTCCGGCGAAACGAGTTCAAAATCCCTTTTACCAAGCGAAACTTGACGCGGACCGGACAAGGGACGGACCGGCCGGCGCGACCAGCTGGAAAAGTTGGAATTATAAAAATTTCAGATTTCTGAGCGGTTGACACGTGACACGACGATTCGTACTCAAATAGAGAAAATAAGAATCTTATCTCTTGGGGCTTTACGACCGAGTTTCTTCCGGATACTTCCGGAGATACGATACAAGTTCGAAGTTTCCGGATGATATTTCCGGACGAAGCTCACTCACGCAACACGCTTTTCTAGATTTATCCTTCGGAGAACTCTTCTAGATATATCCTTCGGAGTTATATAATAATTATCACACTAGTATGCGTTTAAAAATTTTTTTCAGATTTTCAAAAGTGTCTGTTTTTAGTGAATTTTGGTGCCTTTAATGCAAATCTGCTTTCAAATTTTCTGTATCAATGTAGTTTTTAAATAGTTTCTAGAAGAAAATTGGAAAAATACATTAAAATATGTCACAGTACGTCAATTTCTTTTTAATTACATATTTTAATGTAATATATTAAATGTCAAAACTAGGAAAATTTCTAAACTTTAATAATTTAAAAAATTTATTCTGATTCATAATCGTTCCAGATAAATATAACTTATTAGATATCACTTGAAATTTTATGCCGATTTAAAATTTAAATTATAATTATTTAATAAGAATTAAATTGTGTAACCGTTCCAGATAAATATAACTTATTAGATATCACTCGAAATTTTATGCCGATTTAAAATTTAAATTATAATTATTTAATAAGAATTAAATTGTGTAACCGTTCCAGATAAATATAACTTATTAGATATTACTCGAAATTTTATGCCGATTTAAAATTTAAATTATAATTACTTAATAAGAATTAAATTGTGTAACGATATCTCAATTGACAGTTTTAAATTTTTAGAAAATTCTATAATTCTCAAAAATTAGGCCTGATCAAACAAAATTAAACGTCACTTTTATAATATATAATAAAAAATATATATAATAAAAAATTGGAAAATATATTATACAATTTTTTTTAAGTAAAATTATCGCATATCAGTGCTATATTGTTGGTCTAATTGCGATCCTTATCTCCTAAAATTTTCAAAGTTTTTGTAAATTATGTAGCCTATAACTCAAACCCGCTTTTATCATCTTTTAATCAGTAAAAAACCCTTCTTCCTATCTTTTTTTAATCACTAAAAAAAAGAGAGAATCTTCTTACTTTTACTAAAATACAATATTATATTGCAGGACCTTCGTTTTGGGGCTTGATAAATCCGCAGTGGTCCCTTTGCAGTAAAGGAAGGCGGCAGAGTCCTATCAACATCGAGCCGGACAAGTTACTCTTCGATCGTCACTTGAGGCCAGTGCACGTCGATAAACACAGGGTAATCCATCCGCTCTTTCAGTTCGCAAAATAGCTCCGTAATTCGCAAATATCTCTCGTCCGTCTCTTGGGACGCACGAGTGTTCGATGAAATCAGAATCTCTTGTCGACAGAAGGAAGTCGATATGAAATTTTATATTTTAGAAAAGTTCATTAAACCTCCCTCTCTAAAAGACTTCGGAGCATTTATCAAATTAACGATTAATTACAACATAATAATTACGCAGAGCGTCTCACTATGCATCATATTACATATTTATACGATATTTTAATTTTGCAGAGGGTTGCATTAAATTTTCACGATAGATGCGAGACTCGGTAAATTTCTTTACATCAAATCTTCTAGTGATTATTTTATTATTATACACTTTATAATAATAATAATAATAATAATAATAACAATAACAATAATATAATAATAATAATAATAATAATATTATTATTATTATTATTATTATTATTATTATATCGCATTTTTTTCAATTTCCGACGAATTAAAATTTAACGATGGAACATCGGGTATCCTGTATATCATGGCGCGTTCGAGTATGATCTTGGGAAAAGGATACGGAGAAGTTAATTTCAAAGTTCGGTCTCGTCTCGTGTGCACGTCCACTTCAAATGAAGACGAAAGAGTTGTCTGACGGCCGCTCGTTAGTCAAGCGGAACACATACTGGGTGTCTCTCGGCGGGATGATTAAATTGCTCTGGTTTTTGCGTTTGGCGGACGGGTAATGAGAAGGATCTCATTGATATTAACGATTTGAAAACGCGGCAACTCATTATAAACGTATGAAGCGTTGTTTGCTCTGAATACATTCGATTGTTGACCATTACATGTAATTATGCACTATTATGCGCATTACAGTCGATTTGTTTTCATCGCAAGATCGGTATAAAGAGTTTTATACAATTATACAATTAAACCAGATCGGAATAAAATTATAATATACAACGTTATGATAATTTTAGTTATTTAAAAGTCCGGGAAATTGCGCGCGTACATTATTCCAAATAAAATAAAATACGAATGATATTGAAGCTAAAAAAATTAATGCGATAGATGTTAATGAAATTTCATAATTACACGTAACTCTGATCCACCATTATTGAATAAATATATAATTCTGTTTAATGTTACGATCCAACAATTTTTATTTACATAATTTTATAACTTTCGTTGTAATACGCTCGCTAGAATTTTATATTTCTCATTTTCGGGAAATAAGAGGAATATCATTTTTATATACGACATATTTCCATAATTTGAAAAAAAAAAAGAATGTCCAATTTTTTTGTAAAGGAATATAGTTGATTCAAAATCGGAGCGCCATAAACTCGATAAGAATTTGCATCAGATGATTAAGAGCGGCATTTCATTAACACTGGAACTAAGTTAAAATTAGAACGTCGGGAATGATTCATTTTGCACGAGACACCTTTCGAAAAGCAAGGATAAAATCAGTTTAGTAAAAGTATTCCCAGAGCTGTCGCGCGATAGTAATGGATTTGGAATTCACCAGCGAGAACCGCTCCACTTTTCCGCTGTCCATTTTTCACTGGCCAAGCTCGTTGATTCGATAATAAAGCCATTAATTATGAGGCCACCTATTTAACGCTGATTTCCGTTTCGCTCTACGAGAATTCCTCGAACAATCCCGAGAAAAGCTAATTTTCCACTGAGAAAACATTTATTCATCCTACTCGTTCGTTCAAAGCCATCTGATTTTCGATGGTGGGTTTTTTAACAACTTTCTTATGCGAAATAGGAAGAGAGAGACGGCTGTAAAAATTTTTCAGAAAATCATATATGATGAAATGTAATATTTCTCTCGCAAAAATTTTCATTTTTATAAATTTTTTATTAAGAGCAATACGATATTATATTCACCACGGTATTCGTTATTTTGTATTTTCGCCCATCTGCATGTACAAGTGATTCATGCATGCAGTATGAGCGTATTGAAGAATATATTGAGAGGTCGAAAGCCGTTTATAAATGCATGAACGAAAAGTCTCTGTGTGAACTTTCGATATACATAGAAGAAGTATGAACTTTTGATGTAGAATGGAAGAACTTGCAATGTGCGCTGCTCGATTTATATTCTCTCCATTTACATTCTCATTGATATCTTTTTGCTTTCGGGACACAACTCTATAATTTGAACGGGAGAATAAAGAAGAAAGACACGAACGAATGAATAGTGAAAGGATCTAATGAAAAAGAAAATTGTAATGAATTTACGTATTATTTATTTATACGATTTGCAATAAAAATAAGAGAAAATTGATTATTTTTTCTTCGATATATATATTATTTTAAATAAATCACTCCGCTGATGGCGATTTATAATTCATAAAATTGTATAATTTAATGCATATTTTATCGCATAAGTAGTTTATCAAAAATATTGCATTACTTATAGAAACAAGGAAATCGCACTTGAATAAAAATATGTATAAATAATACTAAATTATATTTTATTATAGTTATTTTATGCTTTAATGTCGTAAAAAATAAATATTAAAATAAATAAAAATTAAAAATTATAATAAATAATGATTGAAATATTAAATTTTTGATTCTTCAAAATAGCTTCTCTTTGTTTCAATACTCTTGGAAATTTGATAACGGTTTTTTTTTAACTGTTACTATTATTTAATTCCAACAAATCTTTCCACTATTATTGAAGTTTGTAAAGGAGAAAAATAGATTTATGCATATTTAATGTAATGCATTTTAAAGGTATTATAATTGCGCATTAACCAATTTTAGAATGACGGATAATATACACTTTTAATCAAATTAAGACAAAAGGCATTTACGAGCAATTACGAGATGTTGGGTGTGTGAATGTAAATTTAATATATATTTAAGTGAACGTTTCGGTTCTTTCTTTGAACCATCTTCAATTTAAAAATTCTAACTAATACACTTTTAATATTTTATGAACACGAGCAAAATAGTTGGAGAAGAAAAAAAATAAAAAACCTAACCATTCATTTGAGTTTTCTGTATTTTTGGGGGATGGCGCTTTTGCGATGCTGCATAAATATTTAAAAATACTTTTAAAATTCACGGACAATTTTAGCTTCTCTTATATTTCACATATATGCAATTTCTTGTTAATAATTTAATACGAATTAGCAAGTTTTCCATTGAATTACCCTATTAATATTCGTCTTTGTTTATCGTACATGCTCCATTCAATTCCGTCGATGTGTGTCGAGATACTTCTATCATGGCGCGTTGTATGGTCACGCTCATGTTCAATGCGTTCCCTCCATTTTCCATGGAACATGCACCGCATGCTGTCGCGGTCGCGGTCCTCGGGAGCGTTATTCCTGAGAAACGCGAACATGAAAAATGCCCGGGTACCGTGACAATGCCTCCTCTCGGCATTTGATACGGGTCTCGCAGAGACGGATACGGTACATACGTGTGCCCGCCGTATTTCCCCATGCGAGACGCTGACCGAAAACTCCCGTGAGCGACGATATTGCCCGCGAAAGGATACAATAAATACACGACGCGCGATCGCGACAATAACCCTTTGTACCAGATGCAAGCGACCAGAACTGGCTGGCGACGAAGATATTATTGCGCTGTCCGTGTCTCTCCATACGTTGACTATGACTCCTTTTATCGCGTCTCGTAACATTTTTCGCCGTGAAACGCGCGCATATCTCTCACGAGCCTCGCTGTTTTCAAAAAAAGCAAATGATAAATATTAAATAAATATAAATATCAAATGTTCCAGTAAAAAACTGATAAATATCAAATGTTCTAATCAACACTCATGAATATAATATGTTGTAATAAAAACTGTTAAATATGAAATGCTCGGATAAAATGTTTGAGGGAGGCTCTTCATTTCTGTTTTCGTCTCCAGCTTCGTTTCATATCATTTTCATTTATTTCCTTGCGACTTTGGCTTACTCGCTCGTTTCATTCAACCAGCTGCTCTTGCCCATCCACGGAAGTCGTAGATACGATACTGTATCGCTTCCTATTTCCCGTTTCCTTCGACGAGAGGGAGGGGGGAGAAAAATGCGCATTCATCGACTTCGCGGACGGACCACAAAGTGTCTTCCGCGGAAGTGGACGTGAAAAGGTTTAACGCGCTCCCAAGGTATCGTTTGCCCCGTCGTTTCCTTCCCACCCTACGATCCCGTTTCCATTGCTCTTCTCGTTCCCGCCCCAGAGTCAATCTTTCTTACTGACGGTAGCTGCGCCGGTTCTCACGGGCTGCATTCTGCCTCGCTTTCAAACGAACGGGACTCTTCATTGTTTGCCTACCCTCCAGCAAGCGACTCCCCCTTCCCTGGGAAGGCGCTAAAGAGAGTTCTCTGAAGTGTCCTCCTCTTGCCTTTTGCCGCGCTGTTTAACCCTCTTTCATTGAAACAAGCGCGGCGTGAAACCGAGAAATCGCACGCGCGTGTCCGCGAATTTGGAAAATTTTATTTTTACCGAGAGGGGGATGGAAAAAAAAATTCACTCGAAAAATAAGATAAAATAGCGGAGAGGGGATTTTTATTGGAAAAAGGCTTTTTTTTACTTTTTAGAAAAATACGTTTCCCGCAAAAGACCAAGATTCTCGAGTCACACCCGGAGTCAGGAAGTTGGGCTTGGCGCGACGGAAACCGCACTGACGTCACACCTGGTCCCGCGCTATTTAAACAGCGGTCTCGGGCCGTTTCATAGCCCTCTCTCGTTGGTAGCGAGACCTCGGGAGGGTGCCTCGTGAATTTATACGCCGTTTAACCCGGTTAAAACTTTGGCACTTAAATTAAACAATAGAACGAGAATCGCCCGGCATCCCGTGGAGTCGAATGTACGTCTTCGGCTCGGCAAAGCCGAGTTTCGACCGTTTCATCTCCCTTCGTGCTGTCCTGCAGCTCCTCCCGTTTTCCCTCCACCCCCGTCCGGGTCCCTTTCCGCTCTTTCTCCCGGGTCCATTCGTGTGGCCAGTTTGCTCGCGAAAATGTATCTATGGATTGTTTCACCGAGCAATAGCGCAGTATGTAAACATAGTAATTTTACTGTAGAAACTCGTGGTTTTGGAATCAAATTTTACTTTCCTCTGGTTATTGTTTTAGAATTCGATTGTTGAAAGAATTTTGGAGTTCAATTATAATGAAAAATGTACATACGATGTATTAAAATATACAAAGGAATCTGTTTATGGCTATTTAAAAATAATTAAATGGTTCAGTAATTAAATAAATAAAAGTAAATGGTTCAATAATTAACAACATGCAAATAATTAATCAGGCAAAAAGAAAAAAAGAGAGAGAGAGAAAAACTATAGTTTCTTGAAATTATTCTATAAATTTAGAATAAAATAAGAGATTACTTTTTTTAAAAACTTTGTGATAAAATAGCTGATATTTTATAAATAATAAATAATATATATAACTCATGTGATACGTTAGAATCTGAGAAGACTGTCTATTCAAAAATAATTATATATCAAAAGTAATATAAGTATTTTAATAATTAATTCAACAATATGCGTAATTTTTTTGAGATCATTCTGTAAATTTATAGAGAGCGGAATAAGAATGCAACAAAATTTGTGAATCATTGTCGAACAATTCTGTAAATCGGCACGCTATTTTGCCGTCGTAATTTTATTGCAACAAGTGATCGAGTAGATTCCGGCGGAGAATAGCCTTTACGAGCTACTTCTATCTCTGGCGCGCACCAAAGCCGCCGTTAACGGCCCATCGACCACAGTTTCTTCGCACAAACAATCCCCTGCCAAACCGACGAATTGTGCATCCCAATCGTGTGTGTACCTCTCGCCAGCTCGCCATAATCGAAGCTGTAACGAGCGCGTTCTCTTACGTCGCGAATTGCCAGGTCCTTGCGTTTCGATAAATCTGAAATGTTAAGAAACTGTCGTCCCACAAATTGACGTAACCGTCGTATAAACAAAACGAACTGTCGATTAACTTGCGGAAAAGGGGGAGGGAGCTTTACGGGATTTCACGAGGTACGTGAGTCGCGTGCAGGACGATTCTATCCGTGGCCGCTTAATTCGCCGTTAATTACTGCCGGACAACATGGTACCCGGCGTCTGAAGGTCTTTCGTGGAAGGTCTTTCGACTAATTCCCAACTACCTCGATTTCCGTTTCGCGCGAGAGCTGAATTTCTACCCAGGGTTTCAATTGCGAGTTTGTCCGATCGAGACATCTGCTTCTACTGCGGCTCTCGAGAACGGAGCAAGTTCCGAATTTGGTATATTCACGCGTAATATGTAATTGCAAATAATTCGCGTGTTAGTAGAGACAACTGAGATCCACACATTTCTCACAATTATCAAAATTCCTAGAAAATTCCTAATCGCCAAATTAATAGTTCGCATGGAAAATCGATTTAGCTAGTTTTGGAAATCTCATAAATAGACTTTACATTAGAATTCCCTCTTAAAATCCGTCTTATCCTATGAAACTATTATATTTTCCACGATTTCTCTCCCAATCAAAAATATTTTCGTTATCCAAAAAAGAAGGCAGGTATTAATTCTGAAATTTTAAGAGTCTAATTTACTTTAGAGGATCAAAATTTTCTTTAAAAGTATGATATCTAAAAACCTCTTTCAAGTTTTATTGAAAAATTCACAAAATTAACAGAGTCAGTTAAGAGTTTTTAGGACAGAATAGGGTCTTCAAATGATCCTGTAAAACTTTAAACGCGTTTGTCTCAAAACACTATTTTTAAAATTGGCGTATCAGATATATCTTGAAAACTAATGGAGTAATTTCAAATTTTTTTTTAAATGAAAAAGCATCTTTTTAAGGATATTGATCCTAAATAGAATTTAAAAAAATTAATAATTAGAGTCTTTTCGACGTTCAAAAAATGAATAAATTTCACTAAAATTGAAATATCTAATTTTAAAGTAATACTATTGTACTTTGCTATTTTTTTAATTTTTCTAATAAAAAATTAGCTCTAATATTTCATAAATATCCTACAGAATGAAACTACATCGAGTTTGCTTATTTCAAACAGTCACACCGTCGGGCCATACATTTTCGAACACGAAAAAGACTTGAATTGAATAAAAAAAAAAAAAAATATTCAAAATTAAGAAAAAATAAATATCTAAAATTTAAAAATATTAACGTATTGTAACATGTGTATATATTTAAACATCCAGAAGAATATGTAAAACATTATGTCAAGAAAGGTGAAATTCTAAGATTCCTAAAAATATTATTAATTTTTCATCACTGTTATAGCAGTAAACCCTTAAGAAAATTTGATGCCACGCGCTTCTTACACCTCGGCATCTCCTCCTCTCCATCCACACTTCTCTCTTTCAATCCCAGTTCTCTCGTGAATTCTGCAGTTCTTGTGGGAACAAAACGGCAGCCGACAGAATGTGCAATGACGATTGTTCGGACCAAGGCGGGCGACTTTCCGGGCGAGAGGGAAAGCTCAGAACGGGGGCGCCAGGATGGAAGGTGATCCAACCCCCCGAGCAAACTTTGAGTTTCGTCGAAAGAAGGCCTTTGTGAGCATTCAAGATCGCATGGAACTATCGTGTTCCTCGCCGCGCGAGTCCTCTTCCGGTTTCTCTCCTTCTCTCGCCGAGTCGCTTCCATTGATCCAAGTTCGAAGACGACGGTACGAGACAGGGGAAAAAAGAGGAAACTCGGGTAGACAAAAAGGAGGGAGCGGACGAATTATTCCCGGGGGCAATCGAGAGGGTGGAAATCTATCGCGAAATAATGAGTTATGCGCCATTGACTTTCTCTCTCTCCTCTCTTCACGTGCCGGGGAAATGTCGTCGCGCCGCCTGCTCGTGTTCATTTCTCTCTGTCATCGCGAGGAAGGAAAGCCGTTTTGCCGATATCTTAATGAATTCAGGAGGAAACAACGGCGAAGAATTTTTTAAGTGAGATTAACGATCAGCCTGGAATTGTTTAAGTTCAATAATAATATCATTACAATTTTTTTCACTGATACGAGCTTTCTATAAAAGCAGTTGCGTTGCTCTAAACAATTAGAATTAAAAAAATATATATAAAATATAAAAATATATAAAAATATATAAAAATAGAAAAATAGAATTAAAAAGAAATATAAAAAATCGTCAAAATTTATTTTACACGTAACAAAGTTTAGCTTGTACAATATAAGCGTTCTCTTCTAATGCATTTGTGAAGGATCATATTTCGCGGAGGCTGCTGAAGGCTGAGACGATTCTACATTAATCTATTATAGAGAGATCGCACGAGAAAATGTGCGAGGAAAAAGGAAGACGAGGAGGAGAAGAGAGGCCAAAAATCTATTGCAAAATAATAAGTTATCTCCCGACGACTTTTGCCGACGTGTCTTTCGCGGGCTGGCTTCTCCCCGAGGTTACCTCATTATTTCTAACTGATGATGCCATAATTCAGGTTCTTGGCGACGTACAAGAAAATGGACTTCTCCCCGGCCTCTTGCACTTTGCCGAGCTCCTGTGCGACATGGCACCGTGTCTGGTTTTGCTATTCCATCCAATTAAATGCTTAATCAATTATCCCGCGGACGACGAGTTGCCGCCCTTTCTTGTAGACATCTTTGCAGCCGCGCTCTTATGCAGCTCATTACGATAAGGCGAAAATCATTGTTCGCGAATCTCGTTCTAAAGTGCATGGAATTAACATTAAAAATCTGGGTATTATCATTCTGTAAAAGTTTGATTTATATCAAGAGAAAGAATCAATTTATTTGAATCTGTTATTATTCCGTTTCTTACAGCTTTCATAAGTTTAACGATTTATTATTTTCCTAAAATACTTGTGGATTTTCTTCTCTTTCAAAAGCAATATTTATCATTAGATTATTATTTATTGATAATATTTAAAGATACTTTGATATCAAGAAATATTTTACAATAATAATTTACAATATTATTCGAAATATATATTTTTCTATCTTCATTGTATCAGCTGATATGATTATATCGTAATTTAATTATGAATAATTAGCGAACTACGAATAATAACAAGCTTCCATCTATTCTGCCTTCAGATTTCCGGACATTTACACAATACTGGACAGTTCCTGGTGTTTAGAGCAGACAGGGAGGCGAAGGTACGAGTCAATATAACGGGTGGCCCTCTCGCCTATCACTATCAGTTCGAAGAAATATATATTCACTATGGATTGGATGATGGTCATGGTTCCGAGCATCGTATCAATAACTATGCTTTCCCCGCCGAGGTGAGTAGCACATAAAAAAGAAATACATGATATAAAAATATAAAATCCCTCGGCTTGATTATGCAGTAATTAATAACAGTCAATTATATCGCGTATAAAATAAAATTGGCAATTAAATCTGCTCATCGAATATTTTATAATTAAATAATACCTGGTTTAATTTTAATAAAAGATAATAATTTTAATTTAAAAAAACCTGCACTTTCAGTTATATAAATAAGATTTTTTGAAATTTTACAATTTTACATAAGACGTAAAATTGGCTAAAATGTTTTCTAATTTAAGATATTTGCTCTCTAGTTGTATTTTTTTTACGAAATCGAATAAATCAATACTTTTGTATCAGTAACGGAAACGGAATTAATGCAGGTAATAGAAACCATTTTCGGATTACTTAGTTAAGCGACTCGCAGATTTCCGTCGTATTTATTTAAAAGTACTTGCATTTTTTAACGGCAGATTCCGTTCACATTTGTGGAGATCCATTGCGGAGATTAATTCGAGTGTTAATTACAAATTTATACGTTACAATTCACGTATTGCTCATAATAGATTCTCTTTTCCTTTGAAAAAAAAAAATCTATATGGATGCTAGAAACGAAATAGCATTTTGTTAAGTGTTATTAAAGAAATTGGAAGTACGTGTCTCGATTTTTCGTAAATAAGAGAGATTTTTCGGTGACGCGAGGAAAATGTTTGAGCTTGGCGTGAAACGTTTGCGCGGAAATTTGCGTAATTGCTCGCGTTATTAACTAATTACAGTTCATTGCATGTATACATCTCTCTGCAGTGAAATAATACTTACTACTGTAACGCACTCTCGGGTTTTTGGTTACGCCAACCACAAACACGGCACGGACAATCATGAAATTCTAATCACGCCATTATCCTAGCAATCGCTTTACAAAGCGACAAATAATTAGGATTATCATGTAATTTGCAGTTTGCCAATTAATTATAACCGCAATGATAGTAGCCAGGGGTGTCTGCGCAACACAGGGACAAACGGATCTCTCGCCGATCTCCCGTAAAATTTTACATATTGGCGAACGTGATTTTATTCGCGAACGAGCGCTACGCAAAATCATTGCCGTGAAACGAGAGCGGAGGATGACCCGGGAGTGACGATATAATTAATTGAAATTAATTACGTGCCGGCATCGTAACGAGACAAATTAAACATTCGTTAAACGGGACATGACGGCGACCCAATTAACTATGACCCGTTTATTCCTCTCGAAAAGCCAGTCCACATACGTACACAGGTCGCTTCCTCTTTCTCTCTCTCTTTCTCTCTCTCTCTCTCTCTCTCTCTCTCTCTCTCTCTCTCTCTCCCCGTGCAATTCAATTTTCTTAAATCCACAAAATAATGTGGCGCGATCCGCCATCATCGACGCGCTAAGCTTCTAAACCGGAAAACGAAATTGCGATGACTTTGTTGCACCTCGTTACTATTTTTGCTTTCAATCGTAATGATATATCATAGTTAATACCAAAAAAAATATTTCGTTGTTTGTAGAAACAAGGAAGTTGTTATTTTAGTGAAAAATATATATAAATATTATCAAGTTATTTATTACTGTTAGTTTATGCTTTAATATCGTAAAAATTAAAAATAATAACAGAAATATCAAATTTTTGACTGTTCAAAATAGTCATCATTTGCATTCGCGACGACAAGTTTTTTTAAGCTGTTAGTGATGTTTGATTCTAATTGTTTGATTCTGTTTGCAAATACTCACACATAATTATAAGGGAAATTGTAGGGGGAGAAATATATAATACGCATTTACATAACGTACATTGTTGACAATTAGAAATTGTTTATAATTAACGCGATTACATCAAAAACTAGTAATAGTATAGTATTGAAACAAGTATTATAATAGTATATTAACTAATAATATTATTGTAATTAATAATATTAACTAATAATAGTATATTAATTAATTGAGACTTAAATAACAAATAATTTACATTTTCATGCTTTACGAACATGAGTAAAAGAGCTAGAGGGAATAAAATACTTAATCCTTTACTCGCGTTTTCTATATTTTTTTGGAAATGATACATATTTTCCGATATTGCCATTTTATATCCTCTTTATATTAAACCATTATTATACATTAAGAAAATCTATTTTTATATAAATTTCGCTTGATGGAATATTTCGAAAAAAAAAATGAAAAATAAAATGCGATAGCCCTGAGATGATTAAAAATTGAATATATATGCAATATTCTTCAAAAGATGGATAACGATGGAAAAAGTCGCAACGGGATGTTGGCGAATGGATCCCACACGAGAAAGGTATTACCAAGCCTGCTAAAAAATGAAACTTGCGAGCGCGCGGTTGAATCGACGGAAATGTAATATCGATTAGTACTTCTCGTAAATACAGGTCGGAGGATACTTTTCTTGCCCCTTTTTTCTTAATGACTAAAAAAAAAAGGCAGATTAATGAATCTGCGAGACCGGGGGGGTAATTATCGAGAATCGATAATCAAGAAGTCTAAATGCATTTGTAGGATGTCGAATTGGTGATACGATCCCAACACGGATCTCTCATTTATTAAAACTCGGTGTACGTAAAATTCAATATGCCAATAATAACCAACTTCCCGGTCGCAGAATTCTCTCAGATGACGATAATAAGTTGCAAACGTCGGCGATAGTTTAACTCGAGTATCGCAAACACGGTTAAATGAATAAGTCACTAATAAAAATCTTATTTATAGCTTGCAAAATCGCTTTTATCGGAGATATTAGAGCTATTTGTCTTTTATTTGCCGTATTAAAAAGCATTATTTGATTGATTTTAAATAATTTATTTTAGAAAATTCATCATCTCTAACGTATTTATGTCGTATATATTTGGATAATTTTATATTCCGCATGTTTCTTCAATAAATAATTATAATTGCAATTATTTTCTATTTGCTATTTCTTAATCCTGTTTGGAAATTAATTAGAGATTACATACACCAGTCACAATTTTGCAAGTAATTATTTCTAAATTTAGTAATATATAATACTTCGATAATTGATGCTGTTTAAAACCTTTAAAAGAGATTTTATTTAAAGCAGCATTTTTTATCTTAGACTTTAATTTATAGAGAAATTTTGTAATAAAAGCTTTTTCTTTCTCTCTGCTTTTTTATATAAAAATATTGCAAATAAATCCGTATAATTGCGATCATAAATCATTTATCGAATGATATTGTTAGAAGAAACATATTTTTGTAATACTAGCGTATTTCAAACAGTATCGATTTTCCGAAAGATTAATCTCTAAAGATTTTAAATTTTACAACAGTGTGAGTTATCTTTATTTGGAAGTAAGATTCAATTTGCTCCAAAACCTGACACGAAATATACGCCATAAAGTAAATCCGGAATATATCGATCTCTTATATTTTCTTCTACATGTGTGCACGTATATGTATTATGATATCAGGCGTATGGAAGAATGTCGAATATCACTTGGCCCAACATACGAAGAATTTAGATACGTAGTTTCCAACTCAGGGATATATTTTTATTTCGACATGCATAGGAATCCTCGTACATGTAGTTCCCATCTTGACGCGTCGAGCTTAGATTTTCCAAGAAATCGCGACTCGGAGAGGAAGCTCTCGGAAGGACATCGTACATCAGGGACAACCTTCTTTCTCTCGCGTCTATTAAAATACGATCACCGTGATTTAGAAGGCTACACTAAGAGGTGGAAGAGAGGTAATTTACGAATTTACATTGCAAGACACCGAGGAAAGCGCCGAAATGCGACCGCCCATTATATCCTCAGTGAGCAACGAGCTTTCAATGGTGTCGTGAATCAAAGCCAGTCACGTACCATCGTACGGTCTACCACCCTCTCGTCTAGCTCCTCTACGTCGACTCTATGCGAGCGTATGTGAATTAATTTCGTAGCCGCGAGAAGAACGGCTCTTATATTTTCCCGTTTGCTTCCTGCAAATCGATCTTGATCTCAAGTGAGAGAAGGTTTGTCGCGCAAAAATCTTGCTAGATGAAAAAGAAAAATGCCAGGATTAAAACTTGTCTTTGAAAATTTGAGGGATAATATTATTTTTTTTTTAATCTCTCTTTTATTCCACAGGAAATTTTCTCAAAGCGAATCGAGGCATTTATTATAGGCACTCGAAGATAGGGAATATTTGGGAATATTGAAGAGATGGAGTGCCTTAGAAAGGTGCCAATATTAGGTAGATAAATACAACACGATAATTCGCGTGGCATGTAACATTGCAGTCAATAAAGAGAGCATAACATGTTTATTGATCGTTAATTCAGTACTCCCCTAGGGAAGAGCAAATACAATTATATTCGGTATCGCCATACGCGGTACATTATGCTAGGTGTACGATAATACTCAATAGGCTTCTGTGTGTATTCAGCGACAAAAGTTACTCGCTCAGAAGAGAGCCTGCCTTCAAACAAACATGGAAACAAACTGATATTCGTGAATCGGGACTGCAAAATTAAATGTCGAATTTCTCCATGATTGTTGTCCCTCGTGATTGCAAAATCGAAATATCTCATGCAAATATCCGATCGCGACTTTGTAATATCTACACTTTATTAAAATAAGATATATCTCTTTTAAGCACTTTATTTTCCAATTAAAGTCACATTGTCGGGAGGGAATAAATATTTTTTTTTTACCGATGATCCATCAGGCAAAGCTCGCAGCTCACGTGTACCACATGAGTTTGTTACGCGATTTGCATTCAAATGTAATAGCGGCGTTGTTAGCAACGGCAACGGCGCGTTAAAAAGCCAGGTGATTAATCAACGACGGTGAAGGGCTTGCATAGTCCTGTAGCGTCAAAGAGACGCGAATAATTCAAGCTGCGGAGCGGCATCTTGGCTACGCAAACACAACGCTCGCTAGATCATGGTTGTGTGTTGGTAGCGCGCATAATGAAATCTGCATTAATACGTGTTCCGAGGAAATTCTGAGAGGGAGGAGAGAGCGAGGA